CAGTTTAATTTTTATCAAAACATCTACTTCTGATTTAAAAATTGTAGATATAAGCTGCCATATTGAAAAAATAACAATTATTTTGAAATCTATATTTCAAGGCCGGTAGTATGTTTCGCGCCAAATCAAAGCGTGCGATTTATGATACAAATAAGAATCAATCCAAAATTATCATAAAATAAAGTCATCAATACAATACCTACAAACCTTAAAATATGTAAATATAAGTACAATTTAAAATTAATTTAAAATAAACACATAAGATTATAATTAAGTGTTTACACAAAAATTGGTCCTTCAAAAATCAATCAATCAAACTCATCATCTTGATTTGGTAGGTATTCCTGTTTAATTTATCATAATCATTTCATTGTATATTAAATACAGTTATTACAAATAAAGTGAATATAACTTCTGTTTGAAATGTATATTTTATAGTATATTTTTTATAATATCGCACTGGATACAACCTTCATTGGACCTTCGTCAAGAGTTCATTCTTCATTATCAATTCATTGTTCATTATTAATTCAGAGTTGGAATAATTATTAATTAACTTATTTTTTGCAAAATTGCTTTTTAATAATTTAACATTTTTAATTACTAGTTTCTTATTATCTACACGCTTTGCCATCATAAAGGTTTAGGTGGTCCCTTTCACTTCATAAGTTATTATAGGTTATAGAAATAAAATTCTTGAATCTAACTTAAAAACAATAATAAATTTTAAAACACATCAAATAGAGTATTCCTTAAACTCATATTCATCTCAAACTAAACAAAGGTGCTCAAAAACTAAAGACCACAAACAAAAAACAAACTTTTGTTACAAAACTTTGTGTTTTGTGCCGTTTTCATCTCGTGATAACTAAGTCGCCCAATTTGAGCCAATCTCTACTTTCAAATATAGTTAAAAAAATTCCCGACATTAATTCACCGTTTTTAGATATTGGTGGTGGACCTTCTTATCCGTGGATCTTTAGGCTCCTCTCTATTCTATAATTAATGGCGTCGTTTGTATGTATTGCAGCAAAGACAATATTCACTTAAATAATTTGAGATTTATAACGCCAAATAGAAATTTATATCATACTGCTAGTATCAACATTTCGGAGTTTGAAATCAACCCGAAACTAATTTTTGGCGCTTGCCCTCGTCCTTTCATGATGGGTTCATAAACTGATTTGATGAATAATGGTTTAATAACTCTAGATAAATATCGAATTGAACATTCCCGTGATTGACGCATTACGTTGTAATACTTCTATTTTTACTCGTAAAATTCATTATCCACCTGTTAGATCTAAGCCTGAAGATGGGCTTTCCTCAGATGTGCTCGTGAGGTTGAGTCGCAGACGCATAGTTCGCGTATCATAGGCTTCGAGGAGGAATTGTTGCGGCAAACCACCATCATAACCGGCGACGCACTGCTGCACCTCCCAGCACGGCGCTCAGGTTACCAGGTGCCAACGAACAATTCCGAGGTGGAAACGGCTTGGCTGAAATTAGAAATAACTTGTAGAACAAACTTCCGAATGCGACTAAATCAATAAAAAATCCATATGTTAATTTATGAGTGATTTATAAGTATAAAATACCAAATGTTGTAGAGCATTTACCTTGATAAACTATTCAAGTTATTCAATTTAAACAAATTTTTGGAACACGTTAGTTTTTCAGACAAATGATTTCAATTGCACATTATATAACACAAGTAATTTCTAAAGCGGCGGCCGATTAATCCGCATTTTAATTAATTTTCATAATAAAACTTGTCGTAGGCCTCTAATAACTTAGTATACTCATTAAGACCAGAAGTATCATACAAGATTTCATTAAAATCTTCAAAACTTTTTTTTGAAAAATTATTACAAAGAAACGAGTTGAGCGATCTTTGCCCAACACTAACTTTACGATATCCAAATGATGTCTTT